TTCTGTGATTCTGTGATTCTGTGAAAAACAGCAATTCTCCAACTGTATAAAAAGCTTCAACTGTATAAAATTACATAGTTTGATGGACTTACCTGATTTCCTATTTTAAGTACATTATTGAAATCCTCAGTCATTGGATAATGTTCCATGGCCATAAACAATGTGTTTAAAACTATACAAACAGTGACAGCCAGATCAACAAGTGGATCCATTACAATGAATTCAACTACATTCTTTACTTTTAACCAGGGCTTCCAACAATCCCAAATTAAGAAAGTGTGGGCAAACTTATACCAGCAAGGTGGACATTTTTGCCTGGATTCTTCAAGTTCTGAGGGAAAAAAAAAAAAAAAAAGACATGCAGAGTGAACATGTTTTGGAGAAGGTGAAAATAAATCTTTATTTATCTGGTTTTTTAGGTTTTAATCTTTATCCCTGGAACCATTAAGGATGTTTGGAGGAACGTCCTCAGGTTTCCAGGAATTTAAGTTACTGTTGCTGACTGAAAATATTCTAGAAGACTAGGAGAAAAACCTCAAGAGTTTTGAGCTAATAATAGAAAAAAAGTTGTCTATTTCTAAGATCACATCAAGTTGCTTTTTTAAAAAAAAGCTCTTTATGATTACATTTAGGGATAGTTTTCTCTGTGAAACTTCCAACTTTGCAGTCCTTTCAAATGTCGAATTACTTATTTGCAAGGAAAAATAAGATTTATTTAACTATGAATAGATTTTTGAAAACAATTCAAGCTTTTTCAAAAATTTCACTAGTAATAATTTCACTGTTCCAAATAATCCTACTACAAATTTCCTTCTCCTTATAAACTAAGAAATAGCCTTTAATGTTCTGTAATAATTTTTATACTATAGTTAGTGGAAAAATTACAAGGCATTTTTTCCAATAACTGTATTTTTAAACATGAATAACTACTACAAAACACATACATGTTATCTATTTTAATTAGAATGTGTTTCTTAGTTTAGCCTGCCTATCAGATTCGTTAATTTCTTTTTTCAATACGCACACGTACTGTTCTCTTATTCAGTTTATGTATTTGCAATGGCTACATATTTTTTGTCTTCTGTATTTGCACTGTAATATAATACCTTCAAGCACATCTAAGACTATGTCAAGAAAGTTCACACATCTGCAGTTTTAACACACCTTCCATTGTATTTGTAATAATGCCAGCTATACTCATGGCTCTTTGCCTTAAATTGGGACCCTCCAGCAGCTCCATTGGTATTCCATATGAACTTGTACGCCTCTTTTTTATTTCTATTTCTGTAATAGTGGTCTATTAAAAAAAAAAAGAAGAAAAAAGGAAAAGGAAAGAGGAGCACAGATTAAATTCAAATTTAGAAATACTGCAAAACAGGTATCAAAGACTCTTTGATGTCAATGAATTCATAATGTATAAAGCTTTATATTTAAGTGCTGATACATCAGCATTTTCTTTCCATTATACATATAACATTAGCCTAGTATTTTAATATATGGCTATTTTCATGTTATACTTCTGACTACTGTTAATACTTGTAAAATGCTAAAAAAAAAATTATATATAGTTCCCAGATTACCACTGCAATATAGTTAACTACTATAGTTAACTATAGATAACTATACTACTACCTCCACATTAGACTCAAAGAAATTTTGGAGGAGGTCATACCCAAGGAAACAAATCAAGACTGTTGCAGTGCTGGAATCAGAAAAATTCCCAATTCCATGTTTTCTCTACTAATATTTAACTTCTAAACCGGTTCAATCACAAGATAGTTACAATAACTGACTTATGCTACGAGGTCTTCTGCAGTAACTATTATTGTCCAAAAGTAGTTTTCATAGATCGGTCTTGATCTCTATACTTATCAAAACTAATTTAAAGGATATCTTTTTCATCGAAGAGCTATCATCTCTGTTTTATTTTATGAATTACAACTGAAGAAACAAAATGTCTGACTTTACCCAAAAATGAATACTTTTTGAAAAAATGTATTTTATTAGAAAAATGAACATTGTGTTACAGTTGTGTTACTGAACACACCTCAATTATAAAGAAGTTTTGAATGTATGAGCATGGGTAGGTTTTTTCAGTGAATTAAATAAATGTATGAAAATGAAAGTATAATAAACCAGAAGAAGTTTATAAGTGTAAGGAGGCTGATGTACTTTCAGATGCTGTGACCTGTGTAAAAATAACTGTTTGGATAAAAGAGGTTTTCTAGGAAAAAAAAATGCAATGGATCCCTCTGCTCTATTCCTAAAGTAGACTGAGGGAAAAGGGAGAACTGACCTGAGGAAAAAATGGATGAATTTAGATGCACTTTAAGAAAAAAAAAAATATACTGTGATCCTCTGCAGTGAGAAACTCAGATCATCTCTGAGACCCAGGAGAAAAAAAGCTTTCAGAGCTTCTAAAACATCAACATAATCTTAAAGGTCATACTATACTTGCATGATACCAAATATAGAGGCAGGGGGGAAAAGAAGTAGAATCAGCCAATTACTGATAGAGAATTAGGAAATACACTTAAAGGGAGGCTAAAACTATAAAGGAAAAAAAAACCATCAAAACATAGTAATATGCAGAATGTTTAGAAAGCTGAGCACCCTATTTTGGGTTCTAAACCAAATTTAGCAATGGAACATTACCTAATTTGATTCGCTATCCAGGTGCATGCATATCCTTGCTCTGCAGGTATATAAAATGTGCTTTGTTCTCTTTCATATTCCCACTTCAGCCCCTCACTTCTGAGTGAATCACTATAAACCCATTTCAGTACAGCAAGATACGCAAAAGCATTTACAACTTCTCAACCATTTTCAAAGGATTTAATTCCATCAAAACATTGTCTGATGCAATAAATAAAGCTCATGAAATCTGGAATAAGTTAAAACTTTCTTACATTGTCATTAGTTGTTGGTTTATCTATTATCACCTCTGGCAGCTGTCCAGTAGGGGACAATAGACCTGGTGGTCCATCCACTAAGGAAACCACCCCATTGCAATCCACAGTGCTGTGCATCTTCCCGTTCACTGGAAACACTGCCAGCCTTCTCGATGATCGGCTGGTCTGACTAATGTTACTACTGCGCCGTTCACTGTGTCTGCGCGGCAAAAAGAGAGAACCTCTTCTGCTCCCATTATCCTCAAACGTGCTGTGCTCATCATCGGCAAAGTCATTTTCAGATCCTATCTTTCTTCCGTACTCTCTAAAACTAAAAAGACTTGCTCTGCTGCTACGTATGGGAGAAAACAGGGAGCCATGAACACTCAGTAAAGACTGCAAAGGAAACATAAACAAAATGACCAGCTGAACATTTTAAATATACAAAATGCATGCCTATGTATTAAAAAAAAATAATACTTTACATTCCCCAGGAATCTGTCAGTGTTATTTTTAATACAGTGCCAAAGGTAGATTTCAGACGTGCACTAGACATGAGAGTCATCTGAATGGGTAAATTAACAGTATACCTAAAATAATAATAGGAGAGAAAAAAATGAATGTGCATAAGGCCATAGCAGTTTCTATTTCTCTATTAAAGAGAAAAAATCAAGACTTTAAAAAATTCTAATGATCCATTGAGATTGTGCATTTGTTAAAAGATATGGATACCCTTAGTCTTCTACATTGATACATTATACTTAAATTTTCCTTTTCTGAATTAAAAGGGGATTTTTATTTAAAATTAACTAGGAAAATGCAATGCTGCTGTGCATGTTAAGACCTGTCAGATCCTAAAGAATAAAATGAGAGAGATCAAAACACTTATTTAGGTACACTTCGAAAATAATAGCAACAGTAAGTCAGTATTTAAAATAATGCAACATTATTTTTCCTCCATTGTATTACTTGCAAAGTTGCAGTGAAGTTTGCTGAATATTACACTTATCTCAAAAACCCCCAAAATGACAACTGCACTATACACTGTACCTGATGGGGTGATGTGAACGGCTTCCCATAAGCAAGTCTGTTCCCATCGAAAGAAAAACGGAAACCTTTCCTTCTGATACTGCTTTCTGATCCAGATTTTGGAAGCTTTCCATCCTTCATGTCATCCTCTTCTCCAGAGAGCTCTCTCTGCTTTCTTTTCTTTCTTCTATTTCTCCTTTCTTTGGCACTTTTTGAGCTAAGTTTGGATGCTTCTGAAGAACTATCAGAGGGTCCACCGATCCCACTTTCACCGCTGTACTCACTCATCTCTGCTGCAGCTGCTGCTATTGCCTGCCACAGTAATTATTTAATGTGATGCTTTACAAATCACACCATTTTAAAAAGAAAACTGTAGTCCCTGTGCCTATGATTTGTATCAAATTATACCTAGATGTGATAATAGATGGATTTGTACAAAACTTCAAATTCTGTAATATGAGTTAAAATAAAAGGGCAGTTTTGAAATTTGCCATTTGAATGGAGTTCTACTTTGCATCTATAACATGGAGTCGGCCTGCATTGTGTCCAACATTCTGTCACAAACTTCATTAGAAAATACTTGAGAGTTAATAAATCTATTAATTAGAGAGAATGCAAATGCAGACAGAAGAGCTAAACAGAGTCATAGTTCAGTCTGTATTAGTTCCGTAAACTAATTTTAACTGTTATTGTAAGTAAAAGCTTCCTGAAGCTGCTCTTAGAAAAAAACTCTGGGCTACTGCTTCCAGTCTTTGATTCATTGGTGATAAAACAAGTAGCAAAAACTAGTCAGAAATTTATGGATTACAATATTTTAAGCTCTAATCAAGTTCTGACAAATATTTTACAAGTATTGCAATTATTTCTAAGCTGAGACTTTGGAAAATTCATCATGACAAACTACTAGATACTATCTCTAGATAAGAAATTTTTATTTAAAAACAATTATTCTGATTTGGGGGGTACTTTCATTTCTCAGTTCAGGAATTCATTAATACTTAAGACTGTATGGAAAATAAGGAGGTGACTGGTGACAGCCAACATAGCTTCACTAAGGGTAAATTGTGACTGACAATTTTGGTGGCCTTCTATGACAGGGTTACAACATTGGCAGGTAAGGGAAGAGCAACTGACATCATCTGCATGGGCTTGTGCAAAGCATTTGACACTGTCCCACACAATATCCTTGTCCCTAGATTGGAGAGACATGGATTTGATGGATGGACCACTTGGTGAATAAGGAATTGGTTGGATGGTCACATTTAAAGAGTTGCAGTCAACGGCTCATTGTCCAAGTGGAAACCAGCGAGACGTGTCGTTCCTCAGGGGTTGGTATCTGGACCAGCACTATTTAACACCTTTGTCAGCCACATGGACAGTGCGATTGAGTGCACCCTCAGCAAGTCTGCCAACTCCAAGTTCTGCAGTGGGCTCAATGTGCTGGAGGGAAGGGATGCCATCCAGAGGGACCTGACAGGCTTGAGAGGTGGGCCTGTGGGAACCTCGTGAAGTTCAACCAGGCCAACTGCACATGGGTCAGGGAAATCCCAAGCACAAATACAGGCTGTGCAGAGAATGGATTGAGAGCAGCTCTGAAGAAAAGGACTTGGGGGTACTAGTGGATGAAAAGCTGGACATGAGCCAGCAACATGCGCTTGAAGCCCAGAAAGCCAACTGTATCCTGGGCTGCATCAAAAGAAGCATGGCCAGCAGGTCGAGGGAGGTGATTCTGCCCTTCTACTCCACTCTGGTGAGACCCCACCTGGAGTACTGCATTCAGCTCTGAGGCCCCCAACATAAAAATAACATGTTGGAACGAGTCCAGAGGAGGGCCATGAAGATGATCAGGGGCCTGGAACACTTCCCCTAGTACTCCCAGATAGGGAGGAAATGCATCAGAGAGTGTAGTGATAGGACAAGGGGTAATGGCTATAAACTGGAAGAGGGTAGCTCTAGACTAGATATTAGGAAGTAATTTTTTACTGTGAGGGTGGTGAGACACTGGCACAGGTTGCCCAGGGAAGCTGTGGAAGCCCCCTTCCTGGAATTGTTCAAGGCCAGGTTGTATGGGGCTTTGGGCAACCTGGTGTAGTGGAAGGTGTCCCTGCTCATAGTGGGAGGGTTGGAACTAAATGATCTTTTAAAGTCCCTTCCAACCCAAAGCATTCTATTATTATACATTTAAAAAGAAAAAAAAAAAGAGACAAGGCAGTCTAATGTACTTGTGAGCTATGTAAAAGAATGGCACTTTTTTATTAAGTTAATTTAATTATCAAGTTCGTTTTGAATGAATAGCATGCAAATGAATATATAAAAGCTCACTCTTGTTAGAAAATACCTGAGCTGCTTCTTGCTGCTTCCTCAGCTGTTCAAGCATCAGCTGCAAGTCTGCCTCCCCCTGTTCTGCTTCAACCATAGTTGCTTGATTTTGTTCTTCATAGGCCATGGCAACCACAGCCAAAATTAAGTTAATCAAATAGAAGGAACCCAGAAAAATTACCAGAACAAAAAATATCATGTATGTTTTGCCAGCAGCTCGTAGTGTCTATAGGAGAAGAAGAGAAATGATCCATCTCATGAAGACATGCAATCAGTTCTTCGGTTCACAAGCATTTACTGAATTTGAAAAGTGTAAAAATATTATTGAGTTGAAATAAGATCATACTAGCTTTCTGAATTACAAAGTAATCAAAATAAAGGGAACACTCATGGATGTGAAAAACATGTTTGAGAACCATGCTGCTTTGAGGCAAACCTTTTAATGCCTAATAATCTTGAAAACGATGTGAGATCAGAGTAATTAATGTGAATCACACATTACAGGTTGGATGCTTAGTGTGCTCACCGTGTATTAGCATGTCTTCTCCTTAACAAAAGAATTAAAAATGGCACAATTGATTAAATAATTAAAATATAATATTTATTATAAATAACAATTTTTCACACACCATATAATGAAATGCTAGGGTAAGAAAAGTAATTTATACCAAGACATGTATTCTTAGTTATCAAAAAAAGGATTCAAACTGCAGAAATTAAGATTCAGATTTTGCTCTCAGAGAGTATTTTTACAATTTAAACTCTAATATTGAGTTTTAAAAAATAAGATCTAATCATGAAGCACAAAATGAAATATACACTGTAAAAATCAAATAAAGGATCAAAAAACCCTTCAGAAATCATGTGACATTCTGTACTAAGTGCTCATGTCTGCTTAATTCTGCAAATTTGTTTCCTTTCATAAATACTGTTCATTTTCAATTGCTAACAACAGCAATGACATGCAACACAAATATGAATGGCCTTTCCATGTTTGTTTGATTTGGGGCCAGTAAGACACTAACCACAATTTTTATGATACACTCACCAGCTGATAAAGATTTTCCCAGGAGTCCTGAGTCATCAGTCGAAACAGTGACAAGAAAGCCCAACTGAACGTGTCAAAGCTCGTATATCCATAGTTGGGGTTTCTACCAGCTTTCACACAGATAAACTGTTCTGGACATTTACTAGGAGGAAAAAGGAAGAAAAAAAAAAGTAAGACAATGCATATAAAAAACTTACATAATACTAAAACGGTTTTTATGTTTTTGTACCTTGAGCTTCTAATGAAGGTTCATTAGATCTGATTTGTGAAGGGGGCTGCTATTTGTGGCTTACAACAATTTAAAAACCAGTGAGGAAATTAAAAGTATTCTTTTAAAAAAAGCCAGAAAAGATCAAAAAACTAAAATGCAAACAAACAAACAACAACAACAAAACAACTTTCTTCCAACCTTCTTTCACCACTACACACAACATAAAACTTATTCCCAGCACTTTGGTATTAGCTCTGCAGATATATCTTCTATGGAAACAATATTTTTACCTAACATAGAGATTCCATAAGGTGAATACTTCCACGCAAAAAACCTCCAAAACTCAGTATACGTATTTTATGCTGAATTTTGTCTGTCAGCAGGGTTGGCATACCAGATTTCTTAGTTTCTTCAGGTTGTGAATTAGGCAAATCAAAATAACAAATTCTACCAATTCCTCAACAGCAAATAACCATTGTAGTGATATTTTATGTCCTGAAACTGTACATATCAAGATTGGATCACCTGCTATCAAAACTGTTATTAACTGTAGGCACACTGTTTCAGTTCTGATTCCATTCTTGAAGTGTAGAAGAGGTTTTTGCCTCCAAAACCTCCATAGAAAAACACTGTCAAGATTTCTTGTCATATATGTGTGTGTACATTAGATGTGTACTTTCACACACACATAAAATTATCTGATAGTTACTTACATACATACACAAAATGTTAAAAAAAATAGTCTGTTTTAAAGACATAAGCAACCACAGGATGGACTGATAGACTACAGAATTATGTTCTCAATTTAATGATAACACAGTATCTATCTGCTGAAATGGAATTTTCTAGTTACACAGGAGTTTTTAAAAGACATTTACAGCTAAGTATTTTCTCATATAACATTTTGTACTCATTCAAGTGTTTACTTACTATGAACCATGACCACATATTACTGATCACAATGTTAGGTAACAAAATTAGCTTTTCAATTTTAGGGTGATAATTTTTACATATATTTTAGACAGCTAGTATGCAATTAAAATTGCACCTTACCCTGCATCTGTGCTATTGCCACAAATCAGATGATCCTTTTGTCCTTCTATGCGATAAAAATTACCTAAAGAAAAAATATTATGTCAAATGATTATAAATGGAACAAGGTGTTTTGTTCTGTTTGGTTTTTTTTTGTTGGGGTTTTTTATTTGTTTGGTTTTTGTGGGTTTTTTGTTTGTTTTTTTTTGGGGGGGTTGGTTTTGGTTTTGGTTTTTTTTTGGGGGTGGGGTTTTTTTGTTGTTGTTTGTTTTTTATTTTATGAGTATAAACCTATGTTCACGTTATCATCTTCTGAATGTTCAGAATCTCCCATTCATGTTTTCCCAATAATGGGTTCAAATACTGGCACATCCATACTGGTAAGTAAAGTTTCAATACTAAAGAACAATAAGAATAAAGGCAACAGCCTCCTGGGCTGTGTGACCAGAAGCAAAGCAGAGCGAGGGAATTGACTGCCCCTCTCAGCTCAGCACTCGTTAGAATGTACCTAGAATATTGTGTCCAGGTTTGCCCTCCTCAATGCAAGAAAGACATTGATAAAGTAAAGCAAGGTCAGCAGAGGGTCACAAGGCCATGAGAGGGCTGGAGTGTTCACACTGTGAGGAGCTGAGGGACTTGACCTTGTTCAGCCTGGAGAAGGGAAGGCTAGGGGGAAATTGGTAGAAAGCATCCAGCAACTCCAAGGAGGTTATCAAGGGCATGGAGCCAGGTTGCTCTCATTGGTGTGTGGCAAAAGAATGACATACAATGGGCATAATTTGAAACAAGCAAGGTTCCAACTAAATATAAGGAGAAACTTTTCACCTTGAGGAAAGCCAGGCATTAAGATCTAGAAAAAAGTCAGAGATCTGGAAAACTCTTATTCCAACTAAATCTTCTCTCATTCTCAATTAATGTCCTCAATGTACCTTTCAAGTTGACATATGGCTCTTGTTTTCACAGGGTAAAACACTATTGTAGTATTTTAAATAGTCAGAAACAGCCCACGGGATGAAGAATATATGAAGACAGGAGGATTCGAAACCAAACAAATCAAATCTATTGATAACAAAATCCCCCCATTCAAGAACAGTACTTATATAATGTTAGAAAGATTATAATCCTATTACTTCCATAATATCTTTAGAGCCAGCTAAGACTCTCAATGTTCAGATATGGATCTAAATCCCAGGTGTCAATACTTTTGACATGTGGATCCAGGATCTGTGGTTATCTTTTCAAAACATCAATCTGGCCTTGTTCCTTAATAAATGAAAATGCACAGATGTTTAGAAAAGTCACTAGAGGGTATCACAGCTCACCAGTATATGATATGCTTAAAGAAATATTAGGAGGACCCACAACTGAGACCAGTGAAATTATAATACAACTGACACAAACAAATGTTTAAAAACAGGTTATATGAGAAAGAAAGAATACAAACACAACTAGATAGAACTGCCTTGCCTGCATCAGCATTCTGTAGAGGGTCCCAGCAAAGTCAATGCTTGTAGCATAGGAAGCAACTGACATTCTGAAGATTTTTTAGTTGTGTCTTTTAGTTTTAGATTGCTACTTAGCGGAAAATGGAAATAGAGAATCTATACATTGTATTTGGAGAGAGAATTCACAAGTGTTTTACGGCATATAAACTATCAGCCAAAACTGCCCACAAAGCTGATAAATAGCACTATCACTACTCCACTTTCACATCCCTTCTTAGGCAAATAAACTAGCTAAAATGAGAGATTGGACAGAAAATGTAAATACAGGAAAAGAACTTTAACAATTCAGAAGTATAGAAAGAAAATATGAAAATATAGAAAACAGCAGACAACTTTAATGTCCATTTTTAAGTAAGGACGGAAATATGAATCATCAAAACTCAGCCTACAACTGTATTTTCTTTTACTTTTTGGTCAGTGAGGAGGAAAGGTACTGCCCATTATTCTACTAATTTCTTTTTACTTAAATACACAACTTTTACAATTAATTACTGAGCAATACTCTGTAAATCCACTTCCAGCACAAACCAAATCAACAACTATTCAAATTTTTGACAATTAGAAGTTGTTACACTATATTTCATGATTCATTGTTCATTACAACTTTACTGGTGCTATCACTTAAAATGACACAATTTTTGTCTTTTTTTAAGTATCTGTGTTTCTGAACCAGTCTGAATGCTATTACTTCAGTCTACAGAGATACAGACTGCTGAAAAGTACCTGTATAAAGATGTCTTTGACAGCCACCTTAGTAACAACACGAAGATGTCCTACAGATGAATACCAAGTCCTTCCCTACCAGGATCTCTACTTGCCTAGCAAGTTCTTTATTTCAGAAAGCAAGTGGTTTCTTACCTCTACCTAATAATAAAAGTATACCTTAACTAGGAAAGCTCTCATATTTATCTATTGGTTTTCTGTCTTATTTATAACCTAAAGATACAAGGAAAGAATAAGAGAATTAGTTTTGTTCAGCCTTGAGAAGGCTAAGGTGTTTGCGGACAAGGATCTTCATGCTACCTACAAGTATCACATGAAAGACTGTAATGAAGATGAAGCCTGACTCTTATCCTTCTAGTGTGTACCTCTGAGAAGAGGCAACTAGCAAAAAAGTTTGAGCATGGGAAATTCTGAATAGATATTTTGAAAAGTTACCATAAGACTGGTCAAACACTGGAAGAACAGGCTGCCCAGAGAGGCTGTGGTGTGTCAAACCCTGGAGATATTAAAAACTTGACTGGACTTGGCACTAAGCAGTCTGCTCTAGCTGGACCTGCAGCTGAGCGGCAGCTGGTCTGGATGACTATGGAGATCCTGTCCGACCTGCATGACTTCATGATTCTAAAACCAACCTAACCCTATAAATACATTTCTAAGTGCAATTAATGGAAAGAACTATCATGTCAGCATGACTTTGGGATGCAATACATAAAAATCCCTACACTTTTGTCATCCTATTTAATTAATTTTATGTTTAGCCTATAGCATGAACAGTAATCTTGTGTATGAGTTTATACACAAAAATGTTAGCAGTTTATAACAGCATTTCTTACTTTCATTCTCAATGTATGCTGTCCAATCAAACTCTGTACCATTGAAGTATGGAGCTAGGTATTTCTCAAAAGTTGTTGCGTTTTCTGATGGCCAGAACAAGCATTTATTCTTCAAATGGCCCATGAACAGCTGCAGTCCTATTAGTGCAAATACACTCAGGCAAAACACAGTCAAAATCATTACATCTGAGAGCTTCTTCACAGATTGAATTAAGGCTCCAACAATAGTCTTCAAGCCTACAAACAGACACAGATTTTTATTATAATATTATGTATGTATGTAAGCTAAAGTGTAATGTGAACTACTCTAACACACTGTTAAATGTCATGCACAGCTTCACAAAAATAGTCTTAAAATATTTTCCAAAGGAAAAGGGTACCAGTAAGTCTCATCGTTTGTGACAAACTGATTTGAAAATATGAATGAGAATGAATGGCACACATTCCAAAGCACCTGCTCTTCAAATGAAGAAGCAAATTTTATTCATGCTCTCTATACATGTAAACTACATGTAAAGAAAATAGTTCATTTTATTTTCTTCTTGATACCTCTTGCTCCAAACCCTTCCCAGTGTTCTATTCCAGTGCACAACATATTGGTTCTATAACAGCAAACAAAAGCAGAACACAATTGCCTTGTAGTAGAAATTTTAACAATTGCATTCTATTGCATGCTATTCCTCTGGAGGTGGGGTTTGATGAAGATAGGCATCTCCAGGTAACAAATACATCATGCAATTCCCATGCTAGTCTTTAATATCTTAGTCCTTTGTCTTTGTCAGGGATTCAACTTCTACAACAGACTGAAATTTCCAATTCCAAATGTCTTAGATAAATAGTAACATTCACGTTAGTACGAGGAAAATGAAAAGAATTAATTTTGATCCTTAATGTGGGAGAGAAAATTTGACATTATGAAATGGAAATATACACAGGCTATGTAATTCAATTTCTCATGCAAGAATGTATTAAACTCTGAGGCTGAGTGTTTTGGAGAATTAGAAAAGGGAATCAAATTGAAGTCAAGACTAAAGCCTGGATGCTTCTTTTAAAAACTATGAATTCCATTTCTGCAGAATTTCAGTCAGCCTCAGTGTTTAACCTCGCTCTCACCTGGAATGACTGATATTGTTTTCAAAGCTCGGAGAACTCTGAATGTTCTCAACGCTGAGACATTGCCCAGGTCCACAAACTCTGTCACATATCTGTAGTGAGGGATTCCATACACAAACACAATGACAGCACACACAAAATTAAACAGATGTGATATAGAGGGCCTATCATTTTACACAGATATTTCTTACCTGGGATTACAGAAATAGTTTTCAAAGCTCTCAATACTCTGAAAGTTCGAAGAGCTGAAACATTGCCTAGGTTTACAAATTCTGTAATATACCTGTAGGATTAAATCACAGTTATTACCTGGACCTGTAATCCAGAGTATTTTTCTGGAAGGAGCAACTTTAAATTAAATACCTGAATTCATATTTTCCTGTTTCAAGTAAGTTTTCCCTAAGAAACACACCCTTAAGTATTTCCATTGAATGCAAATAAAAAATGAAATGGATTTCCCTGATTTTATTGTTTCTATACTATTTAAAATTGATTATTCAGTGGTAGCTTCTCTTTTGTACTGTGGAATAGTCCACTAATTCTGCTGTGTGCTACGTAAGTGTAAAACATTAAAATGGAAAAAGTTGAAACACAATTCAATTACATTTTAAATAAGCTAAGATAACCCAAACAAATTTTGACAGGTTCAAAAAAAGTTCTAACTGATATTTTACTTTTAAAAAGGTATATACTCACGCAAAGGAAATGACAACAAAATCAAGCCAGTTCCAGGGGTCACGAAGGCAAGTAAAATCATTTATACAGAAGCCTCTTGCAATTATTTTTACCAGAAATTCAAAAGTATAAATTCCAGTGAAAGTGTGCCTATAAGAAAACATCCAAGCAAAAGTTAAAAGACTGTCGTTCAGTGATACATCATCACAGGCTTAAAGGAAAGTCACTCAAAACCAGTGATTAGTACATGCACTGTAATAACAGTTATAAACTCACATAAACTATGACTGTTTCTCTACCATTCTTTTGCAAGATAATTGGATTAGTTTATTAATTTATTATACCTGAAGCCTATTTTTGCAGTTTCTAGCATGTAAGATTTTGAAATTTCAGCGCAAATAGTAATACTCATGACTAATACAAAGAAAATACTATTGCTCAAATAAAAATTTCAGCACGGTTGCCATGTCAGAAATGAAAATGCACAGGTAAGTGAAACCTAGTGTTCACCAAAGTTACTCAATGGTTGACTGGGTAGACTTGAGAATGTCAAACAGGAGTCCTCAGCGGCAGTATTTTCTTTAAAATGTGTGTGTCCCCCATTTTTAGATTTTGTTACACAAAATGAAGGTGCTTCACAGGACCTATATATTAATCAGAGTTTTGTTCAGTGAAAAAGGTTAACAGTATCAAAACTTCTTTTCTTTCTAAAGCTTGCATGTCTATGCTGCTTTGAGTTGCAGCTAGGATCAAACTCCAGGCTAGAAAAAGGAGAATACTGGTATTACACACAGGGTAAGTCAAATTAAGAGCTAGACCATGTAGTTTATATTTTCATTTTTAAATAACTTAAAAATTATTAGCTAACTTAAGTATACTTACTCTACATTCTTTGTCCAGTCTGGAGGGTTACTCCATGTCATAAATACACAGTTTGTCAAAATAGTGAGCATAATGAGTATGCTGAACCACGTTGACTGAAGTTAAGGAATATACTCTTTTTTTAATGCTGAATTTGCATCACACAAAACATGAGTAATTGACCAAGCTATAGAATACTGACAACATATATGATACACATCAGTTTACTCTCACTAGCAATGTCATAAATAATGCAAAGATGTTCCACAGTAATGATGGCTATAGCACTAACTCTGTAATTTAGGTATACATGCTGTTCATCCCTTCCTCTAAATTTAATCAGAGGGTTAAAGTTACAAAACTTAGCTCTGATTCATTCTGAGAGAAAGAATTAAGGGCAGGAACACATTTAAACACTAAACCAACAAAAACTAGTGTTACTAAATATTTTAAAAGACCAGCAATAATTTTTAACAAACCACTTGAAAAGGATATGAATGAACCAAAATCTTAATAGCTATTCTTCTAACAATATTGAAAGGAGAGAAAAGGTACAAGGCAGGTGTGGCACTGAACCTGAAGATTGTCTTTCCTTTATTCAATACTATAAATGTCTTTAAAAAAATAAAAATAAAAATAAATCGGTGGGCATAGGAAACAGGAAATTAAGGGTACATATCAGCAACCTTGCCATAAACAGAGGCTGCAGTTACAGAGGCTACTGTAAGTAGTCAAATTTATTTCCAGTACAATTATACAAGCAAATATCAGATTCTAAATTTTCACATGAGCAAAGAAAACTGGAAATCATACATTCTTTGTCTCTGAGCTCTTGAACAAAATCTCCAATTCAGCATTTTCCAAGATTATGTAATGACATAGAAATACAATTATAAATTTGTCATTTTTAACCTTAAAAATTAATCCAGCTATATTAATTGCACTTGAGATCAAATCTAGCAATGCAGAACAAAGGACCTAGTTAACCACTTTTGTCATTTATGAGCAATGATTTAACCATTTCAGTACTTCAAAACTGCTTCTGAGGTGAGACATCTTTGGCTTTTAAAAGCTTTACCACCTTCATTGCCTGTGCAGTCATCCATTTAACTGGTACCATTTATGGAAACATTTGTGATTTTGACTAGGAGACACAATGAAAATGTCATCTAATGAAATCTCAAGTCAATCTACATCTTATGATTATTCTCCCAAAAGGCTAATATCCGGAAACAAGCAGATTTTAACACTAAATGTTTTGTTTTCTTATGATATTCTATTGTAAAAGAAACACATCATTTGATAGTAGCATTTGTGAAGTTGAAACAACAAAAACTACATGAAAAAATATGATTTATTATTATGAAATGAAAAAATGAAAAAATACATTGATTATCAGTCTTAAACATTCTGTACTAGAAAAAACACTGCTTCAACTTAGTTGCTTCTTACAGAGATAATATAGCTCTGTGGTCACTCACATGTGATTGTCCAGTACATCATTTCAAGAACCTGTTCTATGATTTTAATTCAGCAGGCATTTTATTGATTTACACAATAAAATAACCACTCCCTGCTTAGTTTGTACTGCCTTTTTAATGTAAATTCAATTTTGCTTTCATTCTGAACATCATTCCACTTCTCATGCCTACATAAAACCATCTTTTCTTCATCTGTACTTGCCAAAGTCATCAACTTTGCTCTTTTGTCCTTTTGCTATCATATCTATAAAAGAAACTGAGTTGCATTACAGTAGACATATATAAATTTAGATTTTGTTTTCAGGTCTATATGAGGCCTATAACATAGACCAAATATTGAAACACAATTTTAGTCTCTACATGCAGTCCCATGTAAGTAATAAATGTAGGAGTACTCACATAAATATTATTTTTATACTGTTTTGCTGAACTGATGCTAAGCCACAAATCCTCTTTTACAATAAACAAAACCACAGCATTTCTATAAGATTTCTAGGAAAACTTTGCGTGCATGCAGTTGTAAAGTGATTCTAAAAGGAATGATACAGATGCTTTCAAGTCTTTGCTCTGTAACATAAGACTATTGAGGGCATATCACCTCAGATTTTCCTACCAGTGTACTGTCTTCAAGTTACTCAGGAAGGCAGTGTGGAGAAGGATTACTTGCTGGAGAACTGGTATTAAAATAATCAGGAAAAAATATAACTGGCCTGAAAAGTCAACTCCCCATGAGACTTAGAAGAGCTACAGTGGTCCTGAAGCAAACTCTAGCTTAAAACACAATCTGTAACTAAAACAAGCTGTTACCAATTCACAGAAATCACATCACATGAAGCTGGCAATATGTGATAATGATTTTTTTATTATTTTTTTACTTGTATCCCTCCCTAGTCAAATAGAGTATAACATTTAACTTTTTGTAAAACAAGCCTCTCTATGAGATTTCAATGAATGTTTGACAGTTGATCATTTTGGCAGATGACTGAATGAGCACTTTGCCCAAATGGTACTGTCAATGTTTCACAGAAACCCTAGGAACAGAGTAGCCAGATACAGAAGTTTTCAAATGCTTTGGCATTCAATCAGATTTGAACAGATTAAAGGACACTTAATGTAAAATTCACCAACTCAAAATACCATAATAAGGAAACATTAGACATTAAAAAAAAGTCTTAAAAAAAGCATCTTAAACAGAAGAGTTTCAGTCATATTTATAGTGTATTCTAAATAATTAACATATCACATACTGTATAATAATTTCAACCAGGGCTTTTGACTGCCTCCATACCAGAGCATTTATCCCTTTATAGTTCAACAGGAGTTTTCTAATTATACTCTTAATTTTTAACTTACTTTTTTATTGATATAATATGGATCCAGGTCCTCCAGGGGCTCAGATACCATTCCTGGAGGAATATCACCATAAATGAATGGCAGTGTCTTTCCTGCCTCCAAGTCATTACTTGGCTTTGGGTGATCTTCCTCATGAACACCATCATCTTTATGCTCATCTTTGTCACAAGGAGATGTTTCATCAGCAATACGTTTTTCAATAGCTGCAAGAGATTCTTTGGTGAAATAGAAGAAGCTGTCAGATCCTGGTGGTACCAGCATTGTCTGTGCCATCTTTTCATTCTGCAAGTTTTAAATGCTTTTAGGCTCTTCTGCAAGAAGATCCTAGGAGAACGTGAGAGAAAAAGAAACAGAAAATAGAGGACAACTGCAGCAAAAATCCCCAAAGAAATGCTTTTGGTGTAGTCATCATCTGTCTCTTTTCTAATTCTAAAGCACTATAGCAAGAAGTAATTTAATTGCTTGTCAGATGCTTCATAGAAAATTAGTTACCTAAGCTTTCCTAAAGTAATGACATGGTAAATGGATATGAGTTATGAAGTAAAGAAAAAAATTAACAGAAAAAAAAAGATCAAATTTGCATATATTTTGTCAACTGAGGCTAATAAAGAACCTCCCAACAGGAAAAAAGGAAAAGCGTTCTCAATTTCTCTAGCCTAAATATTAAGTCAAAATACACCTTATTGTGAAAAAGTAAGAAATGTGTTAACACAGCTGTGTACTGCAGTCAGTGGTTACAAGTTCTGATATATGGATTTATATGTCAAGTTGACACAATACCTAAAAAAACCTTGCAACATATACTGCAAAAGTAGAAAGAAAAGCATGCCTTTTCTATTACTCTTTTCACTGTCAATGGCAACACTACTCCATCTGGTGGTTTATACTATGCTTGCTAAACTAATGTTTATACTACACTATTCAGACAGGTACTACATAAATGTGTTCTGTATTTAAAGCCATGTGCACAAGCAGAAAGCAATTGGGCTGAAGTTTAGTCTTTCCCTTTGTGGTTTTCCTGACTTGTATCTTCCTGATTTTTATTTGTAATTTTGGTGGTGTTATGCTCCATAATTAAGGGAGTTATGATGGATGAAAGATTTTAGATTTATACAAAAAAAACCACAGCATACTCTTCCCAAAGTTACAGTACTCACCCTGAGCCCCAATGTATTTTCAAAAGACCTAAAAATAAGAAATTTATTAAATTACAACAAACAGTAAGTTTCTAATAGATCACTTCTTTCCAGGTCTCTAATTTCTACAATGAGAGAGCAGTTAACACCCATGGGTGCAGTATCTTTAGAATAAACCAATTTTATTAACAAAGACAAAATGGAATTCAGTCCTGCTTGCTGATGTTGGTGTGTGTGCTAGCCTTTGTCAACCTTGGCCAGTTGCCAAGCATTTATCAATGCTCGAAACGAAGCAGGGTCAAGGAGGATAAAGTGAAAAAGCCCATGCATCAAGGTAAGGACCAGGTGATCACTTACCAATTAGTCTCATGGACAAAACAGACTCAACTTGGGGAAAAATAATTTCTTGCAAAATAAAATAGGTTTGGATAGTGACAGACAAAGACAAAACCTAAAAGAACTTCATTTGCCCTATCTTTCCCAGGCTCAACTTCACTCCATCATTCTCAATTCCTACACCTCCTCCCTCTCTGAGTGGCATGGGAAGGATGGAGAATGCGGGCTGGGGTCAGACCACTGCAGGTCCTCTCTGTCACTCCTTCCTCCTCACATTTTTCCCCTGCTCCAGCATGGATCCTTCCCACCAGCTCCAGGGCTTCAGGGTAAGACTGCTCCAACATGGGCTCTCCACACGCCACAGTTCCTTCAAGGAATATCCACCTGCTCCAGTGCAGTGTTCTACACAAGCTGCAGCATGGATATCTGCTCTGGCATGCATCTCCATGGGCTGCAGAGATATACCTCCTCACTATGGCCTGTCACTATGGCTTCAGAGGAATCTCTGTTACAGTGCCAGGAGTCCCTCGTCCCTCTCCTTCACTGTCCTTCAAAAAAACCTGAAGCAGATTTAGAGTTGCTCCATTTGCTATAGGCTTCTATCATCAAAAGTGTCACAGACTGAGCCTGTTCTACCCAGGAGGTGAGAGCTGGCTAAAGACAACCTTTTTTATGATCACAGTGTGAGCTCAATAGTAGGGGTGTGCTGGGAAGGAAAAAATTATATGACATATTTCTGCAAGAATTATAACAGCTCCAAAGTCATTTAACACATAACACTATGAATCCCAGAAATATGCCTCTTCAAGGTCAACTTTTAGGTAACTTTTATGTCAACTTAAACAGCATTTATGTTAAATTCACTCTCTAGAAGTCTATAATACGCAAAACTAAAAGTTTATGACTGTTCATTTTACCAAATACCACTATGACCTTATGGCAGTTTTTCTAAGTTGTTATAGATGTTATCAGAATGAAAATCAATCTTTCCACTTGCATGTTCATATTCCATAGGTTTATTCAGCAATGGTATTCTTAGAGCTGAGATGAAAAACCATAGCCAATGACTGCAGCACATCTGTGTCATAAAACAGAAAAAGGTTCTTTTCCAATACATAACAGGAATCTCTTCTATTAATGATTTACCCAGCAGCCTAATCACAACCCATGCTTGGAAAAAAAACCCACACTTATTAAACACATCTGGAGTTACAGTTCAGTGACCGTATTTTCTTGTCATGACTTTTTTTAACGTACTGCAAACTGTGGCATTGTTGAGCAAACTGATGACACATATAAGTGCCCTAGTGAGGTCACATCTGGAATACTGTGTCCAATTATGGGCTTTCCTGTTCAAGAAGAACTCTTTCTACTTGAGAGAGCCCAGCACAGAGCCACTAAGATGATGAGGGGACTGAAGCATCTCCCATATGAGGAGCGGCTGAGAGAGCTGGGTCTGTTCAGCCTGGAGGAGAGGAGACTGAGGGGGTATCCCATAAATGGTTTTAAGTATCTAAAGGGCAGGTGTCAGGAGGATGGGACCAGACTCTTCTCAGTTGTCCCCAGCAACAGGACAAGAGGCAATGGTCACAAACTAGTACACAGATGTTCAACTTAAACATAAGGAAAAACTACTTTACTGTGAGGGATACGGAGCACTGAACAGGCTGCCCAGAGAGGTTGTGGAGTCTCCTTCTCTGGAGACATTCAAAACCCGCCTAGACCTGTTCCTGTGTGACCTTCCCTAGGTGATCCTGCTCTACCAAGGGGTTGCACTAGATGATCTTAAGAGGTAATTTCCAACCCCTACAATCCTGTGATTACCCCACAGAAATCAGTTTATCCAAGAAAGAAATGGAGTGAAAAAAATATGAAGATGGATGGATTGTTTAAATGACTTAAATGTTCTCTCTTTTCTGCAGTCTTGATGGCTTCTGTATTACCAACTAAGAGCTAATAACAACTCAAATCAGAAAACAAGAAAGTATGTGAATCCTAAATAAAATAAAACTGACACCCCTTCCCCTCCAAAAACTCCAGAAAGATCCTTCTAAAAACTTCCACTCCCCTCTCCCCCACAAAAAATTTAAAAATCCACCAACAAAACTCAACACAAAAACCCCTTGTTTTCTCAGCTTACTATTAATAAATAGGCTTCTAATCCAACATGGCTCTCTTGTGCATGTAAACCTGAATGGAAACCTCTTTCTATCAAGCAGGACAGACAAAAGCAAGCTACAATGAAAGACTACAGACAATTGTTGCAATACTACTATCTAGTAGCACGGCACTAGAAGGAAACTCATGGGTCCAAAATCCAGCCAATAATGTAAACAATAATGTATTCCAATGGAAAGTGGCAGAATGAACAAGACTATTTTTTAATTCCTCTTTGAAAATATATTTTAATATGTATACAAAGAAAAGCATCAGGGTCATATCTATGCCATTTTAGAAATAGTACATATATTTTATCACTTCATTTTCTACATTTGACACGTAAACAGATTGCTGCTCCAATACATTCTTCACCAAGCTATATTAAATCTAGTCCTATACTATTTTACATGTAGAAGTTTGAGGTTTTGAGCTTGAGTTCACTGGACTAAAAATAAAAGCATGAACACAGTGTTTATATTTTCTGTAGGAATCTACAAAACGTTTACAATGTTTTTGCTACAGGCTTGGGGATGAGTGGCTGG